TCCCCAGCGACTGCAGTCTGGGATACCAGAGGGGTCCAGGCTTCATCTACCTTGGGGATCTCCAGTGCATCAGTGAGGTCTGTGGAGGTGCTAAAAATCTTTTTGTCAGTCCCGCTTATGGAAGGGAAGGAGGAAGGGGAGGCCCATTGTTTCTTGATCCCTTTAAGAAAAATAGAGGGACACGGAACGTGATGTTGGGCTGCCACCGTTTCAAAAAATATCGGATTTGGGCTGGAATCCGATGTTGCTTGCGGCTGAGGGAACTGAACGGACCCTATGTTCGCCGTTGATGTGGCCTTGCGAAGCAGGGGAAGAAACAGGGCTGGATTGAACAGGTCTCCCGATGGGGAGGGCTCAGGGGGAAGTTCCTCCTCCTCTGATAGGTTAAATTCCGGCTGCTCCTCACCTTGCAGGGAAGAGTATCCGCTCATGGAGGAGTGTGCGGGAGATGTGGGTTCCTGAAGTATAGGGAACCCAGGAGGAGGGACATAAGGTGGCATGACTGATATGGAAGCCCCCTGACCAGGTGGATGGAAGAACCGTTCTGCTAGAGCTCGATCCACAACCTTGGATAGCAAGGCCTCAAGGCGGCTGTCGGAGAAAATGTCTCCGATGTCTGGTCCCCTGAGTCCTGCGGCCGTAGGAGTGAAGGGGCTGAACCTGAAACTGTTGTTGCGTGTTGAACTAATGCGGAAGGGGAGCTGATTGTGGCAGGTGTCCCTGTGAGAGACCACACGTCTTGAGCCGAGGTTGAAGGGCCAAAGGGAAGGTCAAATTCAGGGACCGCCATTTGATCCGCCTCTAATCCGGCCTGCCTCTGCGCTCTGGAGAACTCCTTCTCCAGAGCCTGGTGTCTAGGGCTGGCTTGCTTTTCTGCCAACTTGGAAGGCTTCTTGAGAGTGACCTTAGCCAGTCAAGGTGCACCAGAAAGAACTCAAACAAAGGACGCAGAGGGCCTGAAAAAAAAGGGGCCTGGCAAGAAAGAATCAGGCTCAAAATGGCGGCTGAACAATTTGTGAGAGTAATGTAGTGAGTGATTGCAATAAGGAAACACACACACCTCAAATGCGGCCTGGGTCAGGCCAACTACTGTGAGTAGGCCTCGTGGGGCCTAAAGAAGCTCCCACGTGGTGTTAAAAATAGCGGCCGCCGGGAGTTGTCGTAGCTATTTGCTCAGAAGTGTGCAGCCTAGGCAGAGAAAAAATTCCTAAGAGGGCTGATCAAATTGAGCCACCGATGGGGGACAGAACACTTAGGACGCTGAAGAAGGCCGTTCGCAAGTGTTTGCCTCTGGCGGCGGCCCCAAAATGGCAGCCGCAACTTGTTCTCGCTGAGAATGGTCCCTCAGGCTTCAAAGGCAAAAGTTCTGGAGCTGGGAGCGATCGCGATGGCAGCGCTAAACGCTGCGCCGAAAACGCGGTCAGCAAACTTGTTTTCGAATGGCAGGCAAAACACAAGGCTGAGTCTAAGTTTGTTGCCTTTGTCGGCAACCAAAATGGCGTCCGCGACCAATTTCAGCTGCCGGAGATGACTCCGGAGATCCTGACTGTAAGGTTGAATTTCAGACCTGCAGTCTGAAATTCCGCCCGATAGCTCAAAGGAAAGGGGGGGAAGAATGAGGGATATATTCCAAGCAGCCCCTGTTCAGAAGTTTTCCCCAGAACCCTGGGGAAAGGGAAAGGAAGGAAAGCTGCAGAGACCTCCCACCCCTCTCACTCCTCTAATCTTATGATTTGAAGCAGCACTGTGTGAAAAATTAAAAGAGCTGTGTGAAAAATTAAAGGAGGATTCCAATTCTATTATTTAGCTATTTTTTGAGGATACTATAGGGAAAGGAGAATTCACCAATGGATTTCTAACCTGCTATCTGTTGAGAGAGCCAAACCTGATGCATCTTCAAGAGCTTGAGACCAAGTCAAGACTGGGTCTCCTAGCAAGAAGGGGGCGTGTCAAGTTTGGCTACTTGGTCTCAAGAGCAGGCAGACAGAGAAAACTAGAGAAAGCATTATTTTCTGCAATCAATTTTCTGGAGAACTCAGCTGCAAGAGCTTTCTTTTGAGGTCATGGCTAAATGCTACTCATTAAATTGTCATTCTAATTCTGAGGTTGGTGTCACCTACTGCCTCCTTGCTAGTCCTTACCCATGTGCAGGTTTATACAAAGCATGGATCTTCATCTGTTACCTTATTTATTGCACTGCTATGTCAGCTTTTGGGGAGACTTTAGAATGTGAAAAGATGTGTACACTGGTCAGATTAGTGTAATATTCTTGCCCATAAGTTGTTGTTTAAGCTATTTTGTACATAGTCAAAAAAGGAGCAAAATATTATACTAGGATTCATGTAAATATAGAAGAATTTACATTTAAATCTCTCTGTGTGCCTTGGTAAGATACACATGGTACAATTTCCTAATACTCTGGAGGCTGAATTAACTATTCTAATTTTAAGTATTCCAAGTTTTAAGTAAGAAATTCACCAATACACCAAACCACAATCTAGAGCACACAAGGTGCAAAGAAAGAAAAGATCTAGCTGTAATGTCAATTTTATAACTTTTCTTGACTTATTTGTTCGTGTGCTGCCTACTATGGATATGATTTAGAGTCTTAAGCACTATCATAAATCAAGAAAAAAGATTCTGTAGACACAGTTTTGGCCATGTGCCAAAACAGACAATGATTTAATTTCAACATCTGCCCATAGTCTTTTTAGTTTAATTTTTCACCATCACTTATGAAAAGAAAGAAAGAAAGAAAGTATTTCTGAGGGCCTGAACTGACATAAGTGCTCTGAAGTTGAACAGCTTAAGACGAGAAAGGGGATGGGGGATATCTTATTAGTGAATGCAGAGAAGATCAAGAAACAAGAGGCAATTAGAGGTTAAACCAGCGAATATATACAAGAGTCCACTAATTTAATGTAAGCTATTTCTTTTCATTCATTTGGGCGATTCACTTGCCACCATTTAGGGAAGTGCTCCCCGAAGTATAGTTTAAAAATTTAAATTTGTTTCTGTGGAGTTTCATTAACATTCTCTGGTATTAATGACAGACCCAGCTTCAATTAAACAAGTGGAAACGTAGGTTATTTTGTTTTGTTTTTTTAAAACCTCTTCAGTTTTATGCTTTATTCCTTCTCACTTTGTTCAGATTGTAGCTCCTTTCCAATTTTCAGAAAAGAGAGGCTGTAAAAATGAAGCATCTTCTGGAACAGAAGCTATCATTTCCATAGTAGAATTTTTCAATGCCAAGTAATAATGAGTATTCTTATGCAAATTCAATTGAAGAAGGAGCCATAGAGAGGCTAAGACTACTTGAAAACTAAGCACAAGACTCAACAAATTCCAGGAGGACATATTTGCACATAGGGAATTGCACACAATGTGAACAGGGCAACTCCCTAGAACACTGAGAAGAAAAAAAACCACAATTCCCAGTAGCACAAAAACAGTGCGGGACTGTCAGAAGGGAAAAGCATTATTTCTGTTCTGTATTTCTTGCCAGATGTAGGGCTTTCCCCTCCCCCTTTGTGGTAAATAGCAGTTTTGACTTTCTGATTGTTGATTCAACTTTAATACTGATAAGAGGAAGTAGCAGCTTCTGGGGGAGGGGGGGGGGAAACACTAGGTATGTAAATAAAAAGTAGAAAGGAATTCATGAAGTATTGCCATCACAGTGATTTGGATGAACAAGAAAGGGATCTGAACAAACCTAAACAAAATACCAGAAATGAAGTTCAAAAAGGAAAACTACAGAACAGATAGAGAGAAAAGGGACTGGGGAAAGGACAATGATACGTTTGGCAATGAAAATTCTTCTTCAACCCAATGTTTATCAGATGGAGACTATAGAGACAGTTAGTGCTTGTGAATAAGGAACAGGGTTTCTTTAATACAACATTGTGGCATATCTTGAAAGAGGATGTGGACGGAGGCATATTTCTTGAGGCAAGTACGTAGATGGAGATATATCTCGAGGAAAATGCGCAAATGAGGCATATCTTTTGAGGAAAGTACATAGATGGAGCTGGTCTTTACAAACATTTAGATGTGATGAACAACAACATATTGCACTGGATATGCAATTGTTCAAAATTCTTTTATCCTAGAGATAAAGATGTGTTCCTCTCCTTGGGATGAAACAGAAATCACACAAGAAAATTGCCCCACACTCATACTGATTTCAACACCAGTTCATGGAAGTCAACCCTTCTTTAACCTATTATATTCTAATGCCAACAGTTAGTGCTTTTAAATAGGAATATTTTTAACTGATTGCACTGAACATCTTATTAATTAGCTAGCAACATTCCCTTATTCAAGTCTGACCTTTTCACAGAAACTCTTTTGTTTCTAGAATTTCCCAGAATATACAGGCGTACACAGTCTTATTTCCAAAACTGATTTCATCTCTATGACAAGCATATTTTAATGCTCTTTGTATAAGGAAGCCATTGTAACATGTACAGCCTCCGTTTTGAAAGAGATACATACAATTTAAACATAAATAGGCTATTATAAATAGACTATTTTCAGATTATTAACTATTTTTTAAAAATCTGATATAAATATTAGGGTGAAATTGTTTGAAAGTCAGGTGTACACACTGTTGTCTCAGGTCTCCATCTGATCCTTGAAAGTTCCTACAGCCCCTTTGAAGATTGTTATGAATTTGTAATACTGAATGTGAGAAATGAAAAATTATTGAACACATGGGGAAGAATCATATTCACAGTATTTAATTCATTTAATTTTAATAGATTAAGGTAAACTTAGTGTTGCCTTTCCACCTCTTTTTGAGGAATGCAACCATCAATCAAAAGATCTAGTGTGACACTTGAACAGTTGTTCTGCACCCTGGTTTATAGAAAGCAAAACACAAAAATATAAACCATGATGAATGAATAGCCTATTCAAACAATAAAACATCTCACCTTTGGGGATTTTAAGAATCTATGTAAGAAAATACAAAGCCACACAGGGATAGCAGAGTTACTTACTCTGTCTCCTGGCCGCACCATCGGTTCCTGCTTTGTGCCCAATTTATGCAGTATATTATAAGCAACTTTCATACTACGGGTCCAAAGTTTACCTAATCAAAAAGAAAAACAGTATAAATATGGCATGGAATATTTAAGTTTTAGAATGGTTCAAAATGCAATTCAGATAACATTTGTCCCAAACAAAAAAAGTAGGAATTCATAACTGTATAAAAAACATATTAGAGTTTATAGAGGGCATCTTCATGATACAATATATGACTGTGCTGCTAAGCTTCATATTTTAAACAGGCAAGTTTATACTTTAATTTATCAGCAGCTAGGTCTAATAGTTTAAAGTCAAAGTTGGCTCTGACTGCCCTAACTCAGAACCATCAAATATTTCTTCCTTTGTTCTATCTCAAAGAGTTTTGAATTTCATAGTACAAGTAACTGACTGGATATTCAAGTTTGAAAACCAGATTTACTTACATTACGTTTATAGAATTTTATGATTTTATATTTGGAAGCTCACATCTACATAATGCAGAATGATAACAGAGAAATCCTCCAAATTAAAGAAAATATATCACTGGCCATATAGACTTCTATGCAATATATTGGAAGTTCAAAGGAACATAGAAACAGATCCAAAAGGTAATCTGCCTTGTTGGATCTTGTCTAAATCCTTCCCCAAATTTGCACAAGTCTATCTTGTTAAATAAAACTCTATGCAAAGAACAATTTTCCATTCAAACAGTAAAAATTGATGAACCATATTATGACCATACTTCTATCTTTTAACAAGTGTTCAGAAGTGGTTTCCCTTGGTATTACATTATTCAGCTAGTAGCTGCTGTCTTATCAGCACATACAAGTCAGATCTGTTTCAATATGCCTGGGAAAGTTGATTTTTGTTCTTTGAAATGTTTATCCTGACAATTCCATGGCTACTTATATAGGGCACAATCAATGTCAACTTTTTTTGAACAAACTATACTACACGTTGTATGTCAGTGTGGCTTAACATAGAGGAAAATGTTTTTCATCAATTGTGTCCAGACCATTTTGAGTGCTGGTAATGTTTGCCTCAAATTCAAAGAAGGCTATAACCAAGCCATTAGTCATCTGCAGCTGTGATCAGCGACTTTAAGCCAATTATGAAAGTTCAGATAGGCAAATGAAAAAAACTATTACTGTATTTCTCCATAATTGCAATCTAGATGAAACCTTTTATTTGCAGTAATTAATGGCAGAGCATATGACAAAAAATATAAAATGAAAATCAAGCACTTGCAAGCAAGGAATTTGGAAACAAACAAGAAAGCAATTCATTTTGAATCCCACTGATTTAATTAAAATATAGATAGTGATGTAAGTGTAGACAGAAATACATTCAAGGAAAGTATATCAAAAGACAAAGAAGCAGCTTTACACAAAACATATTTGATGGCAATATGATGGCTCAACATAAGGGGAGCAATAGCTTTGTGATACCTGTGATCCCAAAAGATGGTCTATCAATTAGCAGAATTAAACATTTAAAACATTTTTTTAAAAGTGCCTGAATTTTCATAACACTTCAGGAAAGAGTGCACAGGGCAGAGATGTTAAACTTCATGAGATTTCAGCAATTGTATAAGATTTCTGGTGATTTTGCACAGTTGTTAAAAATTGCATGTAATGCTCCATCTGTTATCTTGCCCTTTTTGATCTTCTATGGATGCTGGTAGTTGATGGCTGCAGTTGTACAAGTTGCTGCATGTAGTTAATTTTGACCTTAGTTTTTGTTTTTGGCAAATAATATTATTTTAAATTCACTGTGCAAATTCAAAATATGGATTAGAGGTAGTCCTTGCTTAATTACCGGGTATTCAGTGATCATTCAAAGTTACAATGGACACTGAAAAGGCACTTATTACCAGTTGTAGAGTTTAAATAGTGGTACCTCCCTAGCAGTCACAACAACACACTTTGGCACTTCAAAAATGTCTGGTTGCAGCATTTGTCTATCACATGACCACGATTTACTATGTTTTTGTTTCCAGAAAAAAAACCTGACTTTTTCCATGTTTTCGTGTGAGGTCCAAAGCATTTCTTCCAAATCATTTCTGAAATGGGCATAATTTTACTACCATATGCAGAAGATTTCATTTAAAATCCATTAGATACATCCCTAAATAAATGTGTTTGTTTAATAACTATGAGCAGGGAAAGGGGACATTGGATAGCATGAGTATAGATACTTCTATAAAACTTGGCAATTTTCTTTCCAGGTTTTTGCTCCATTAGTCATGAATATGTTAGGTGTAAAAGCTGTCAACTTGTGGCAGAGAAGTATGCCAACAGAAAAGAAAACCACAAAATCAGGATTATATCATGAACAGTAGGATTTTTAGCACCACACACCACCAACTTAGCCACAGCAAACCAGAATAGTCTTACCAAATTTATGCTTATCAGTTCAGAATTTGACAAAAACCAGCTGCAAATAATTGTACATTTTTTTCAGCATCACAATATACTTCACACAGCTTATACACTGCAATAATTGAGTGCTTTTCATACGCTTAACAATGTACAGAAATAGATATTATAAGACAGCATTGTATGCAAGTATATCCCACTGATATCAAACAGCAATGAAAGGTGGGTGGGTTGTTTTAATCTGAATCACCCTGCACCACTCCCACTTGACAGCATGGAGGCCCCTGAATTCATGGGCTGCTACACAACCAGAATGTGTAGGTGTGCATCTCAGACTGAGAATGATGGAATATATACTATGTGGAGAGAGAGAATTATTTTAGGACTGGTGCAAAATGGTCCCTTTAAATTATTTCGGAATTGAAATATATAAACAAAAAACATTATCTAATGAATATCCACATACAAACTCTCTTCTTCAAGAATGCAAGGACAGCTGTGATGTGAAACTGATTATTTTTCAAGGGAAAAAAATTAATAAATGTTGTTAATGCTACATACATAAGATGTCTGTGTAACTTCAGGAATGAAAAATATTTAGAGTATTCTTGTACTTGAAAGAAAAATTAATATGAGAAAAAAACAAGCATCTTCAATATGGTAAGGAATTGCCAATATTGATCCAAACTATTATTTCTGTCGATTGCTATCAGCTCTAAACTACATGGCTCTCATGATTTTTATTCCTGTTTTGGCTACAAATGAAGATCACTCAGTTGAATATGAAAATTCATACAGTGCTACTTTGGTATTCAACTGAAACTCATCGAATTTGGTACTCAATACACTTTGACATGAAAATTTTGTCACAATGCTCATCCTTTGTTTGGTACTCAATGCACAAACTAAAATGTGTCGGTGTTGGCTGCCTTGTGATTCACTACATTATTCCTAAAGGCAAAAATCTGTTTGGTACTCATTATTTACTCATTGCATCTACTGGAACCAATTAATGATGAGTACTGAGCTACCACTATTCATTTCAAACATGAACTTCTCCATTTAATTATAACCTTCTCTATTAAATATACTCCTTAAGTTGGCTCCATTTCAGTCAAGCTGCATCCTAATAATTTGTCCTGGGAGAAGGGACCCTTTAAGAAATGATCATATCTAAAGGTAAAGATAAAGATTTCCCCTGTTCAATTGTGTCCAATTCTAGGGGGCGGTGCTCCTGTCCATTTCTTAGTTGAGGAAGGCTATGGTTTCCAAAGACATTTCCATGGTCGTGTGGCCAGCATGATTATATACCAAGATGCACAGAACACCATTACCTTCATGCTGAAGTGGTACCTATTTGCTCGCATTTGCATGCTTTCAAACTATTAATATTTAACAATTAAAAACACAAGATGATTTTCAGAATTCTATTGTATTACTTTTCTCAAAAAGGGGGAAAAAAGACTGCTGACCGTAAGTGAGAATATACAGTGGTTTTCCATTGGTATCCATAGTGGTTAAACAAGGAGCTTTGGGAGAAATTGTTCCCCATCGTTGCAGTGCTGCTTCAAGTGAAGGAGGCCAATTCGTAACCACGCCCAGCTGTTCCCCACGCATCGCCAACATCTGAGCTCCTTCTGGCTTTGGTTGGTTTGGATCTGGTTGTTGAACTTACAAATGTGAGAGGGTGTTACTTCATTTAATTCTGCACTAAACTAAAGAGAAAGAGAACTAAACATTTATTTTTGAAAGATCATCTGAAAAGAAGAGAAATGTTGAATTTGATTTCAGAATGTTCTGCATAGTAATCTTCCCCAGTTGGTGCAGTGTCCTCATGTATGGACATCAACTCCCAGAATTTACCAAGAATATTGGGTGTTGAAATCCATAATCTGGAGATACCCATGTTGAAGAAAGCTTATAATCCTACTGGTCTATCTGGCCTATTTGAGATGTTGGAATAAATAATGATTGGATTTTAGGGGACATACTGTTGGGAAGCCCTTTCTCAATCATGTTTCTTCTTCCACTTTAATATTTACAATAATCATGACTTTCTCAATTTGGAAGTCAATTTGTCCCTCAAGATCCTTCATAGATATCCAGATGTTCAAGCTGTAGCCATGTAATATGGTTAAAGAATATAGTTTACAAAAATAATAGTGAATATTGCTCTTTCCCAACTAATCTAAACAAAGGAAGTGGGTAGCAGTTATTAATTATATGCACCATTTCATAGGGCAATAAAGCTCTTTGTAACTATATCATCAAATAGCAACAGCAATAGCATCTATTCTGCCCCATAGCACTTTACAGCATTCTCTGGGGGGTTTACAAAAAGAATAATTTGCATATTGCCCCCAACAACTTGGGGCCTCATTTTAAAGGAAAAATGGAAAGCTGGATTAACTTGAGCACTGTCAGGATTGAATTCCAGACTGTGGGCAGAGTTTGCCTGCATTACTCCATTTTAACCACAGCATTACCAAGGCTCCAGAACTAAATACAGAATCTGAGTAAATTTTACTAGGGATTTTTTCTTCTGGCACAAGAAATGAGGCGTTATCTTACCTGAACGCCTTTTCTCAGCATGAAAAAGAACAATTTTATCAGGCCCACTCAAAATGCATGCATGGAAGTCAAACTATGTTACCTTCTAATAGTTCTTCAAAGTCATCCACAAAGAACTCTCGTAATGGTGGACGCTTGGGTCGTTTTAGAGTATTGACCAGTTGTTGAATTTTTGCAGATACTCTGCTGCTTACTGGAACTCCTGCAGGAAAATAAATCATTGAAAGCACTGAAGGGCTGATTATGTCTACCAATTCTAGGTAGAGAACAAACGCATACCAATCTGACTGAATTCAGGTTTTAAGAATCAGATTAAATAATGGTACACTGGAAGCAGCTTGATACTCCCACAGAGACACTTTGAAAAATCTCTGTCCAATATGGCAAATAACCATCAAAAGTTGGGAAGAACCCTCTAGTTAAACTTCACTGTGATTAAATAAACAGATGGATAAATGCCCTTCTCAAGCAGAATAGCCAGGAGAAGTCCCAACTTTTCAAGAAAAACATCACTTCAAATAGGCTTAGAACAAACAAGACCTGTTATGTCAAATTCTAATACTTTACTTCCATGGCTCATTCTTCTGGATACTTCTGGAGCTACCAGTTATCCTACTTGAACCTACACAGATACAAAACACCTGAATTATTTTTTCTTGACTTTCCTAGTCATCATTCATGCAGAAGTTTAAATTCTTGCTAATTAAGACTTTTTAAACTTCAATTAATTAATTAATGCCTTTTTCCCGTACATATTAATGAACAAGAATACCTCTGCTACACTTTCTACCTGGCCAAACTTTCTGGAGTCTATGCCTATCTTCTTCCCTTTTACTAGACATACCATCACCAGTTTCCATAAGTTCAGCATTTCCATATTTTGGAGCCGCTCTTGATGTTGAACCTTGTGGTCTTTCTACTTGTATTGAGTGTTCGGAGGTGTAAGTGGTAACATCTGGAGGGGCCGAATGATTTTCTGAAAAGGAAAAAAAGTCTCCAATTAATTTATTCACGAATTTTTGAATAGTATTTTTGGACTGTACAATTTCTTCCATGAAAGCCCCCACTTTAAAAATAGTCTCTTTCATTCAATTTTATAATTGAGGAGCTTTAATTTAACTAACCCACAAAAAATTATTTTGAAAAAAGGTAAAGGTTTCCCCTGTCCAGGTGTGTTCGACTCTAGGAGGCAGTGCTCATTTCTGTTTTCTAGCCGAGGATGCCAGCATTGTCCAAAGACCCTTCTGTGGTCACGTGGCTGACACAACTAATACACCAAGGCACATGGAACACTCACAATTCTTATTTTCCCATTCTGCAAACTAGCACTTTACATCAACTACATGTTGCATGCTTAAGTACACATAGTTAAAAAGATTTGTCCGAAATGGTATAGGGTTTCCTGCCTGAGCAGGGGGTTGGACTAGATGACCTCCAAGGTCCCTTCCAACTTTATTATTATTATTTATTATTTATTATTATTATTTAAGGGTTTCCCATGTCCAGTCATGATCAACTCAAGGGGCTGGTGCTCATCTCTGATTCTTTGTCTACATTATCTGAGAGACGTTTCCATTATCATGTAGCTACTATGAAAATAAGGAACATAGAAAACTTTTTCACTGAAATGGTACCTATTTAACTACTCACATTTGCATGCTTTCAAACTGCTAGATTGGCAAGAGCTGGGGCGAGTAATGGGACCTCATCCAATCGCATGCCCCTTGAGTCTCTATAACATTCATCTTTTTCTAGCAGACAAGACTGTTTTGCCCAAGTACATATATGTGAGAACATATATAAATCACTGGAGATATTTTCCATATAGATATGGAAAGAACTAAGCTCTATACTGTATTCTTCAGCCATTTTTAGAGTTTGTGGTTTTTAAAATAGCATTAAGCACTGAGTCTATACAAAAGTCTTGTTAAAATTATCCAAAAGGTGAGTGGCCCATCGTAAATTGATTAGAAACATGGCAATTTGCTATTTCCCCATTTCCAGACATAGTTCCTACATCATTTCTTCTCCACTATACATCTTGCATTTGCAGAAGCAACTCTGAATCAATTGCCATCATTGTGACATCAGCAGACAATCCTCAAGTTAATCTTTCCTTTCACAACTCTGTACTGTAGCTCAACATGTTCCCGACATTTATCTTTGTTCTCAGTCACTCTTCAATTTGTACTGTTATACCAATTTTACACACTCCTTCTTGTAAAATCACACATTTTAGGGAGGGGAGATTATTGTGCAGGAGAGTAACCCATCTCAGGCTTTAACAAGTTTTCTTTTCAAAAGCCTCCGTGATCAAAAGCATCATCCCTCAAGAAGAACTATGCCAAGCTGAAACCATTAGGAATAATTGTTATTGAGTTTAATCAAGGAGCAGCTTTTGTAAATGGAATATTGTGTCATCTGAAGCTTTAAGATGACAGCACTCAAAGTTACCATCTCTGGGGTAACCTAATCACAGCAAGTTCTCCATTTACCAGCAATGCTGATGGCACAGAAAACCACCTGAGGGGAGCCAAGGGTAAAGGAGAAAGCCTTCGGCCTCAAAAGTGGTTAATCATTTCTGCAATTGATTTTTCTTCTAAGCCACCTTAAGGGGAATAAATTTCAAAGGACATTTGATAGATATAACAGGATTAAGCAACAGCCACCTACTCTTTGCAATTCTTTCTGGTTCATCTACATAAACAGAGAATATGGTAGAAGGAAATGGGATTGTAACTTGGCAAAACTCTAGGTGGACTACAAGAGGATCTGTTAGGAAAAAGTTTCCAAGTTTGTGGGAGAATCACTTTTTAGTTAACACCTCTTTCTATTTAACTTGCTTGACACCAAGTTCAGTGTCTGCCAAGAAAGGTAACATTTTTTAAGGTTGTTGTATCTAGTGCTAACCCTTATCAATTCCCAGGCAAAAATTGCACATAAAGGGGTAAGATATCTTAAAAAGGCACTGAGGTAAATGAAATGTTGTGGTGCAACATCAGTACACCATTGCTACAGTCGGATATAACCTTCCCATTTCCATATGGCATCCAACACTTCCAGGAGAGGTCTTGCTTTAGCAATTTATTTTTTTAATACTGATTTCCTGGATTAAATTCCTCTGAATCCATTTTAAGAAGTAATCTACTTCATGCTAAAAAACTTTATAGAGGTCAGAAAACCTACTTGAAATTCAAACTGGGAAATTCAAAAAGTAATACCAATCATCAGCTGTTATGCTTTGCTTCATAAAAAGCTATATTTAGTTTGAGGACACACCCAAAATAAAGCATTTACTTCATTTTAAATACTATTTGTAGTATAAATTGGATATAATGGGACCCAAAGGACATGTTGCTTAAGCAGCCACTGCTGTTTAAGACTGGTGGCATGATCCTTGGGCAGCAGTCCTCCAGGATTAGATTTTAAGTTGCTGCTGCTGAATACCAGGCTGGTCAGTAAGAAGGCCTTCTTATTTGCAATCTTATTAGAAAGGAGGAAGCAATACTGAGACCTGGGTTATCCCAGAGGGGGAAGTTCCCCTGGGTGGGTCTAGGTTTTGGCACAACCAAGGCTGTAGTGGAGGAGAGGATTGGTGGCAATTATCTTCAAAAATCTATTTTGGCCTTCAGAGGCCATGCCACCAATTTTCCGGTAGTGAGACCTTGCTTCTGAAACTGCTGTTCCTGTTGCAAACTGAGTGCGGAGGACACTCCTGATCCAGGAAAGCCTGCAACTAGTGCACAACCTAAAGCTGTGCAAAGATTCTCCTAGCAGCGACTGCCATCTGCTCTTTGTGCAGCAATCCAAAAGGACCCCAAAGTTGTCAATTGGGTCCATGATTGCACTCAGAGTCATTAAGTCTTGCGAGGGTTCAGCCAAAGCCTGTTGTTGCCCATTTAAGCCTCCAAGCACCATGAAATGACAGCAGCAGAATCACTAGGGATGGAGATATAAAGTTGAGTATCATCAGCATATGAATGATGATGAATGCTGTTGGCTGTATGATGAATGATCTCATCCAGCAGCTTCATGTAGATGTTAAAGGAGTGGAGAGAGCCAAGCCCTCTGGTCCACTGCAGAAGAGTGGCTGTGGACTGGATCTCATTCCCTATCAACACCGATTGACACTGGCCTTGGGTAAAGGGGCCAAATCAGCATAAAACTGCCCAGCCACAGATCCCACAGCTGACCCAAAAGGATAATCATGGTTGATGGTATGATTGAAGGCAGCTGAGAGGTCAAGGAGAGCAAGGATGGATGCACATGGTCATCCTTCCCTTGCCATAGATCATCCACAAGTGCAACCAATGTTGCTTCTATCCCATAACTGTACCTGAAAACTGACTGGAAGGAATCTGTTTCATCCAGGATCTTCCAAAATTGAAAAAAAATCATTTTGTATATAGACTGGACAGAAGTTGTCCACACAGATGGGATCCAGTGATGTTTATTTAGGAAGGAACAAACTAAGTTCCCAGTAAAAGGGGCAGCTGACCCAAAAGGATAATCATGGTTGATGGTATTGAAGGCTGCTGAGAGGTCAAGGAGAGCAAGGATGGATGCACATGGTCACCCTTCCCTTGCCATAGATCATCCACAAGTGCAACCAATGTTGCTTCTATCCCATAACTGTACCTGAAACCTGACTGGAAGGAATCTGTTTCATCCAGGATCTTCCAAAATTGCAAAAAATTCATTTTGTATATAGACTGGACAGAAGTTGTCCACATAGATGGGATCCAGTGATGTTTATTTATGAAGGAACAAACTAAGTTCCCAGTAAAAGGGGCTGGGAATGTGCCCTCCTCCTGAGTGGGTCTCATTCTTGCCTGGACCCAACTTCTAGTCACTGTCCTGGAAGCTTTCACCAACCAGGAGGGACAAGGATCTAATTGTTAGATGATTGTACTGACAGCATTGAGGACCCTATCCACTTTCTCAGATCTAACAGGAT